TGTAAAGTTCTTCTAGATCAATTTTAATTTGGCATAGTATTGGGTGGTTTGGATAAACCCTTAATATTCCTTGTATTGCGCTTAAAGAATCTATGAAAATGACTGCTTCCAATTTGGGCTGGTTTGATATATGTTGTAGGGCTTTCGATATGGCATACAATTCGGCGGAATATATGCAGTACTCCTTGGGTAGCTGGAACTGATGTTTATTTATTTCGTCAACGAAAGCTGCGCCTACCATTTCCATTTCAGAAGTTTTTGACGCATCTGTATATATTTGGTAATATCTTTTGTACTTGTCTTTAATCGCTTGAAACCGTTGTATAATTATATGTGATCAAGTATCAGATTTAGGATACAGTAGAAGATTTGTATTACATGTGGGGAGTTTTATGGTCCAAGCAGGAGGGTAGTTTATTTCATTGGAAATAACTTTCGAGAAATTGAAACCTATGATTCTTTTACTAAATGATGCAGAAAGAAAGGGTTTTTGTCCAAAAATTAAATGAAAATTGTCAGAAAATGTGTAGGAGTAAGCAGGGTTATTAGAGTTTGCTCCTATTTTAGTTGCATATTGTAGGCTTATTGTAGACATCTGTGTCTTCTAATTGAAAGAGGTGGTTCATCAGCTTCTACATAAAGATTTTCTACTGGACTGGTCCTGTAAGCTCCAAGTGCAAGCCTCAATGCGGTATTTTGTATGATGTCCAATTGCTTTAATAAACTATCTTTAGCTGATATGTACACTATTGATCCATAATCTAGCTTGCTACGAATCTGTGTTTTATATATATTTAGTAATTGTGAGGTATCAGCTCCCCAATTATGATTGGCTAATACTTTGAGAATGTTTTATTAACTTTTTTGTTTAAAAATATTAAATTTTTCTACAACACAACTATTTAAGATAGTATCAGAAACCCAAAGTATAAAGGACTGAAGAAATACATCTGGAAGTTATAAAATAACAAGGTATTGTTGTATCCAAATCTCATATTTACTCCAAACATTAGATTGTTAATGATTTAAAAGACGAAATTTTTAATTTAGGGACAGGAAAGAACATATTGAATAGAAATTAAATAAATATTGACTTTGATTTCAAAGCTAGCGAGATAAAGCAATTTTAACAAGGATACCTATGATATTTTAGCAGATAGCAGGATAGCAGATATAAATTGCTTATTTATCAATATTCTTAGAGAATAATGGCTTCTAAACGAATGGCTTAAAAATAATGATAAACTTCTTACAACGGGTTATTATGTTTTACATAACCATCCTTCAGTATTTGGTATTAATATCGCTGTACATCTAAAACCAATAAACATCATATATATTCGTGTTTTAGTATACATATCCTACATTAAATTCTTATTTTTCCACAGTCCTAGTACGTACCCTATAGTAAAAATCCTTTGAAGTCACTGTCACAAGAATGCTTTAACTTCAATCGATTTAATTTAAAAATGGAAAGTTAGTGGTTTAGTCACTTTAACACACAAAGGTAGGCATGCAAATAAATACTAACATACTAAAGTAAAAGATCATGTACCTCTTTCCTTGTTTTAAGTTCTTCTGAATTAAAGCTGTTGAGCAGCAAAGCCAAGAACAAGTTTAGCACCATGAAGTTTCCCATGACCAACGTAGGAAGAAATACTGCGAGGCAAGTTCCAGAACCCTAAATATAAATAAATGCGTATCAATTGATATAAGGTTGAATGCTCCGATAAATCAACTTTGATAAAATTAAAGGCAGATATCGAGAGCACAATTTTATTAATTAAATCTTGCCCTAAAGATTCTGGGTCTTTATGCTTGGACATGTAAATAAAAAATATGCTTTCTGTAGGGAGCTGATAGCTTAAATATCCAACAACGTTAGATATTTAATCAATAAGGACAAGGACAATACAATCTAATTAAAATTAAAAAAACAAAACAGTAAATATACTAAAATACTGCTACAGTCTGTTAATTTTTCTAGTACACATCACTGCCCAACAAAGCGTAATTATCTGCATTGAACTTCCGTTTTCACTCTTTCGTTTTTGTCTTTGTTTAATGCACCTATTTTTCGTATTGACTAGTTTGTAACATCCAATTATCAAAGGAATTGACAATCGTACCGAATCAGATCACACTTATTCGTAGTTTATCTAGATATCGAGAACAATGTGATAATTGTTTAACAAAATAAACAATTTGTTTCAGCATTAACTCTTAATTTATACAAAATACTTGGCGTACTGTAGCGTACATATTTTTTTTAGTTTACAAGTGTAACAGTTTAGTAATATCTTTATTTCTATAACAAAAAATATCGAAATTATTTTTTGAAAATCGTGCGAAAAGTAAAAATAAAAAATAGTACAATTTTTTCTATTTTTATTGTTCTTAACACAATTTACCATTAATTACTATTTATAACTGGGAATAAGCCACAATTAAAGATAAAAATACGTTTAATGACGTTTCAATTTCCAATTCGGAAATCGTTCTCAAAATACAAACAAAATACAAAGGTTTGTATTTTGAGAACGATTTCCGAATTGGAAATTGAAACGTCAATAAACGTATTTTTATCTTTAATTGTGGCTTATTCCCAGTTATAAATAGTAATTAATTGACAATGCCACAAGAAAATAGCTTCAGAACAATTTACCATATTTACTAAGAATAGATAGAAATTAAAGATTTTTTTTACTAGGTAATAAAATTCTTCTAATAATTTAATTTTATCTGGTCATTCATATTAACAATGTGGATATATCACACATTTTAAAGTAGATGCTTTTAAAATGATATTCTCAATATATTTGATTTGCGTTCCTGACACGACTTTATTTTAAGATAGTTCATTCGATTGCCTACAATCAATTTGCGATTTACTTTAAAAATACAACTACTTGTGTAACAAATATACACAAAATAACAGATTTGTCTAATTGTAAAAGTATTGCCTTTGCAAGTGAAATTTGCATATTATTCGTTTTTCATAATCTAAGGACTGTTCAAGTGTGTTAGTTTAATGCATACTACACCACGGAAAGCCGCCCAAGTTATTGCTCTAATCGAAAATGTACTTAGTCAGCGAGCTGTTGCTAGACAATTGGATATGACACGCGCAGCGGTTCGAAGAGTGTGCCAACGTTATGGCCTTTCATAGGCGACCTGGAACAGGCAGACGGCGATTTACAATCGCTTGTGATGATCGCTTTATTGTGTCAACAACATTAAGAAATCGTCACCTTAATGCCGTTCAGGTGCAACAACAGCTCCGTGAGATGCGAAGAGTGGCTGTTAGTCAGTGGACAGTGAGACGAAGACTGCGGGAAAATAACCTGACCCTAAAACACCTACGATTGGTCCAAAACTTACTCCAGCTCATCGGTAAGCACGCCTGCGTTTTGCACAGGATCATCGGAATTGGACGTTGGAACAATGGGGATCTGTTCTGTTCTCAGATGAGACCAAAATATGCCTGCCTGTACCGGAGACCAGGAGAGAGATTTGCAGAATGCTGCTTTGAAGAGCGGAGTGCTTATGTGGGTGGTTCCTGCATGATCTTTGGTACAATTTCTATAGGAGCACGAACCGATCTTGAGTTCATTCGTAAGGACGATCGTGTTCACGGAAGAAGAGGTTTAACGGCTGCCAGGTATATCGAGGAGATTTTAGCAATTCATGTGGTATCTTACGTCGACTACATTGGAGACGAATTTATCTTTATGCATGACAATGCAAGGGCACACACCGCAAGAATCGTGCAAGATTACATTGCAGAAGTCGGTTTTCAGGTTATAGACTGGTCAGCAAACAGTCCTGACCTAAATCCGAGTGAACATTTATGGGATGAGCTAAAACGAAGAATTCGAGCTAGACTTCATACCCCAGACTCGATCCCAGAGCTTATTCTTGCAGCAGAAGAAGAGTGGCTTAACATCCCACAAGCAACAATAGCAAACTTGATTAGATCTATGCCAAATTGTATAAGAGATGTTATTAGGGCAAGAGGAGGTCATACCCATTATTAAAAAATTAAGTGTTAAGTTTTAAATTGTCAATAACCCTATTTATGTTAATAGTAAAAAAGCTTAATTTGCTCAATGAATTTATTTCAATATGTTAAACATAGGAAGCCGAAATAGGTTTTCATAAATTTATACTCACATTAAAGCATATTAAATTGTCTTTCAAACAGTATATTTTTTTTGTGATCTGATGAATATTTCTTGAAAAAAATATAGTTAAATTCAAAAGTTTACAGTGGGCCGATTTCTATGCGAGCAAGTTTATTTGCCTACCACACAGGGTATTATTATGGGGGTTGAAAATTGTAACAGAACTATTATCCTAGAGATAGGGCAAACAAAATAAACGAAACTTATGCGAACGGCACTCAGGACTTAATTGGACAGCTGGGATCGTGGATAAGTTAAATAGCCAGGAGTCGGATTAGGGCAACTACAAAAATGAAACAAAAAGAGGGTACTTACATAAATCTCTTGGACAAATGGGCAAATAAAAACAACAAGAAGGACCTCTAGCTATTTGAAATAAGGACGTTGCTTCAAAGAATCCTAGTCCTGGTCAAAAAACCGGGAAAAAATCTCAAGATCTGCATAACGTATGAAACGAGAAGACGAAGAAGTAAATAATTCACTGACAAAGCTAAATATATCGCACCTCATTAGAGTATAAGATTGATGTAACACATAAAAAATAACTTTTCTTTAAACTTGATAAAATATGTAAATACGAGTTTGATTATTATTGACAATTTTACCGCAATCGGTAAGTCTACTTTTGTGTGATTAGTCTTTACCGGATTATTCTATGATCTAAATGTAATCTTTCAGCTCCTTTACGTAGCTAAAACTTAAAATAAAATGTTTTTGTAAACTGGATGCTACAGTTTACCAAATATTCTAAAATTTTACCAATTTTTTCATATATCTATCATTTTCTACTGAGTATTCATTTAGTGATAAAATATATCAATACTTTACCTCTGCTCGTTCTGCTCTCATACAGTCCCACAACGGTTCGATCCATTCTCCACAAAGGATGCGAAAAATCATCATGAACGAATGAAAAAAGTCAGTGAAATTCCATCTAAATAAAAAAAGCATATTAAAATTAAAATTCCCATTAGAATTTATATTATGAATTAATGCCAAATTTATTTTACAAATGTGTTAAATATATTTCAGTGATTTTGACTTGCACGTCATCATAATACATTTTTATATTTACAGTGAGGACGTTAGGGTCGAAATAAATTCAATATTTTTGTGTCTAACAGTATTTTACCAAAACGCTTTCACACGTCAATTTTTTTTTCAAATGTACATCTTATGGTACCATTGAATCTACCAATAACGTCACCATTTTCGCGTAACTGACGTCATCGTTTTTTTTATAAATTGAACAATATATTTTTCTCTTCATTTTGACAGGGGGACGGGGTTAAAAACACAAAAATAGGCATAAGAGAAGTAAACTTTTGAGGCTGGATGATGATGATAAATGACACCAAAACAATAACACAAAGTACCAGTATTAAAATTTTAAGTAGGCGCAAAGCTACAAAAAATGTTCAAAATCACCTCCCAGAAACGTAAAACAAGACGTAAATCTTAACCTCATTGGTCATCGTAATGCAAATGTTCCTGGAATATTTCTTATTGACTTATGTAAAAGTGGTTTCAGTTGAACTGGCTAAAACTTTGCAGGGAGGTAGCTTCGGCCATGGTGATCAAAAGTTCTTGGTGCCACAAGACTCAGAAATCAATTGTTTTAAAATAATGAATTTGGATATCAGGATATTTCACCGACATATCTGCGTGAATATGCTACCCACGACATTCCACTTTGTTTTTGACTAGAAAACATGATGACATGGGATTTATAATGATAACGATAATTACTTACAGCGAATGGTACAAGCCTTCAAAAAATAAAAAATACTAATTGCCGATGATAAATCATGTCTAAGACATGATGTGTGCGATATAAACAAAAGCAATTGCAGCAGAGAAAAAAAAACAATTCTTACAGCTTCAGAAATAAGATAAGCGCTCAGATTAATATGGGAGATAGTATCAAATAATACTAGATCTCTGTCAAAATACTGGATCTTGTACGATGAGAAAGACAGAGAAAACGGGAATTAAACCAGAATATTACATAAATATATAGTAAAAAACTATTTAAAAGATGGAGAGGTAGTGGCAATCGTTATATGACTTCAACTTTAAGATGGGTCAAGAACAGACCTAAGACCTAATATAGAAAGAAGATAAAAGAGGTAAATAAACTCCAGTGCAAAAACTACCGTGAAATTTCTCCACTATGTACAGCATATAAAGTCCTCACGTATATTACAAACCAGCGGCTCTCACCACTAGCGGAAAATATTATTGGAGAGTATCAGACAAGCTTCCGATGGGGAAGATCGACACTGGATCAAATCTTTACAGTCAAACAGATCTTGAGTAAATCCTGCGAACATGACGTTGGTGTTCACAACGTTTTTGTAGATTTTAAACATACCACTCAGTCAAAGGGAACAAACTCTACATAGTGCTACAAAACATACATGAAGGTGACATTGAAACGGTTGAAAAGTTTACATACCTGGAAGTAGAAATATATGCTGACGGATAAGAAGATGGAGAAATACAGAAGAGAATAATGCAGACCAACAAAGCTTTTGTCCTCTCCCATATATTTCCGTCTAAAAATGTCCACCGAAATGAAAAGATCAAAATCTATAAAAGCTTAATTCAACCAATAGCATGCTATAGCCAAAGCCAAACTCGATACATTCAAATGGAAGGTACTGAGGAGAATACTAGGATCTATGATGGAAAACGGAATCTTCAGAAGTCGATATAACAACGAACTGTATAAACTTTATAAGGAAGCATCAGTGTCAGACTTCATTAGAATACAAAGATTAGAATGGGCCGGACATGTGATAAGAATAAAAGAGAGCAGGGAAAGAGACTGGTTGGAAAGCCAAAAAAGCGCTGGGAAGACATAGCAAACAGCGACGCACAAGCGCTGTTTAGGTAGAGTCTGTATATGGAGAAGATCAGCCACAGACAAGCAAGGGTGGAGGCAAAAAATAAAGAAGACCAAGGCTTAATTTGGGCTGTAGTGCTGTAGAAGAAAAAGAATGTTAAAAACTACTTTAAAAGCCTAAGTACAATATTTCAGATCTGATACAAACTCTTCACTTTACACTAATATTTTAATCAGATTACTTTTTATATTACTTTACCTTGGAACTGGGTCAGGAAAAAACTTCTCCTCTGTGTAATCTTTGGCAAATAGCTGCATTCCAATGACGGCGAATATGTAAATAACGATGGCTAAAACTAGAGTCAAGTTTCCTAAAGCTCCTATAGTACTTATAATGATACTTAGAAGCACTTTCATAGTTATCCAAGACTGAGCTAATTTTAATACTCGCAACTGAAAACAAGAATTTATTAATTAGTGTATGTAGCAAACTTATATTTTAATTAAAACATATTTTGTAAATATAGAGTTTTGCTATAAACGTTAGGATAAATAGTCCGGTAGTAGGATACCTTTCTGTATGCATGGCAGGGTGGACAGTTGAAAAAAAGTTTTCGCTGCATTATGACGCCACAATAAAAAAGCTTTATACACAATTATTTGACAACGTCACGTCGTCAAAAACATAACACTTTAAATTTAATACTGTGGTAATGAGCAGAATAGAACTAGTTTGGTATGCCATGCCTATTGCATGGGTTTGTGGGATGGTCTTTCATAAAATATAATAAATAAAGATAGTACTAGTAAAGCATTAGGAAAGAGTAGGTGTATTATATTCAATTTAAACTGGACGAAAAATTACTTGTTTTAATTAAAAATAAGATATTATTTGGTATTTTCCAAATAATATCTTTGAAACCATATTTTCGTTTAGATTTTTTGAATCAAATAAAAAATTATTCCAACTACTGTTTAAATTAAAAATAATTTTGAACAATTAGAAATTCTAAACCAAATAAAATTCTTAGGTAATTAAATGTTCAAACAGACCACCAAATTATAACGAACAGTAGCCAAATCTATTATACAACGCATTTCTCATGACGTCGAGTTTATCTGCCGATATGTTTTGGTTAAGTTGGATTATCTTTTCCTTCAGATCCTTCAAAATGGTGGCTCGCTTGAACGCATGCCTGTACAATTATGGAAAAAAAATGTATGTATGAAAAAAATGTACCATTTGAACGAGAATACCAGAAGCTTTGCGCAGTAATAATCGACGCTGTTCAACCTGGAATCCTGTTGAGTTTAATATTAATTCTTGTAATAGTTTTATTAATTAGTGATATTTCAGTAGCAAGGTTGTAAGTTTCATCACAAATTCACATTCCAGGCAAAGAAAAAGCTTATTTAGCAGCAAAATGGAATCATATAAATAGCCAAACATTACTAGATCTGAAAAGAACAATCAAAAAGAACACAATGTGCTTTTGTAAGAGTTAGTAAATTAGAAATGTGTACGGTTAAGTAAATATATGTTATACATTAACTGTGTTTTTAGTGTTAATGTTAGAAGACTGTAAATAAATTAAAATTAACATAACTGTAACACGAAGTTGGACCATCTGTAACCAAACATTATCTGCCACAAATTTCCGCCAATTAGAAAAAAAGAGAAGTATATGATTCGGATATTGAGAATTAGCACACACACACACACACACACACACACACACACACACACACACACACACACCCACACACACACACACACACACACACACACACACACACACACACACACACACACACACACACACCTCACGCATGAATCTTTAATAAACTCCAGCAATTCGCTTTTGTACGAATACTACAACTTCACCATGTCAATAGAACATGTACGCCTTAATTGCAACAGACAAAAAATCTTGATAGCAATCTAAGAGACATTCTCGAAAGGATTAATAAGATATTTTTGATATGAAAATAGATAAAGATATTAAAAAAACATATATTTAATTTTAAAGTACTGTAAAAAAAATGTAAACTGTATCTGCGCTACTGACTATTATTAGTCAAAACACATATTTAGAAAGAAAAAACTTTTTGAATAAACGCGCAACCAACAAATGAACAAATTTAAAAAAATGTGAAGCGTCGTCATTAATTTTTCGTGAATACAACCGCATAACAAGTAGGTACCTGATATGGATCAATCGATATTAAATTCTGGGATAAGTGTATGCGAAGCAAAAATTGATAACCTCATCAGAATTTCCTGTTGACAGCTACAACGTAATTTCGTAGAAATTTGAAAGATACATTGCTTTTTTATAAAATGAAAGTGAATTCTTATAAGCAAAAATATAGATATTAAAAAGCTACAAGTGGCTTTCACGTTAGCATTTTTATTTGATAAAGTACAAAAAAAAATAATTAAATCTCATTTGAACAGGTAAGTTTTAAATAACTTGCAGCAAATCAAAATAAAAATATTATATTTTAATTAAAAGCGAAAACAAAATGTATTCTATAATTTTACCAAAACTTAATGATGTACATGAATGTAAATTGTTATAGATAAATATAATTGTAAAAAGATAACCTCGTCAAAATGTCATCTTTACGCGGAAATTGGCTTAACGTTCTTCTTTTTCTGTAGACATAACTCTGTCAGCTTTTCAATGTGCCTCCAGTATGTCGTTCCTTGATATGGTGATCTTCCCAATGATCGTCTCCCCATTGAGGAACAGTCCAGAAACTACCCAGTGCTTCATGTTCCCCACCTTCCATCTTCGTCGGATATATGTAATTCTAGGTCTGTCTCTTAGTGTGTTACCATCAATTTTTTAAAGGGTTTTCGTCCCTGCTGTTTCTAGCAATATGTTTTCCTTTCTCTCAGGTCGTGTTTCTATACAACTAGCGAGAAGGTTATATCCCCTATTGTAAAAATCTGGAACTAGAGGGTGAGAAAATCTTCACCACTGTACAACGCTGTCACCACTGTAACATCCTCGATATGAACCTTAAGGATGCTTATCAATGCGAGCGGCTGCAATGCTTCCTGGTCCAACTAGTCTGAACTGGCTGGTTCGCCTTCGTGGATTTGCGAGAAGGTAAAGAACTTCGGGATAGAGGTTAAGGACTTCTAGGTCTCAGGACCTGGAAAAGGTTGAGTCTATGGGCTTACTTTAGAAGTTTATATACATAAGCAGCAATTTTGTACTCTTCTGGTCTCTGACTGAATCGGCCGGAAGAAACATAAAAACTAAATTTAGAGTCTACAAATGTATTGCATATACTATGTGGTTTACAATTAAGTTAACAAGCTGTCAGATATAATCAATATTAACTCGTTCGGCGCGAAGGGAGACGAGAAGAGATCTTAGTATGAAGGTAAAGGGGTGACAATTTGTACTACTATAATTTACTCGGGTTAGTATATAGAATTTTGTTGCCTTTCGCGTATTTAGGCTCTAGCTAATGATACGCCCTTCAGTTCCTCTGGAAATCGGATTTCTTTTGTGGAGGTACCGCGCTCTCTCGCGATTTTCGAACTCCCAATACCCGACACTTATACGGAACTATATCCCATCAAAATATAACAATCGCGCGTAATCCGCACCTGATGTCGCCTCTCGTCTTCACAGCCCTGCCCGAAAATACTGACTGACTGGACGCTACCGCCGGTAATTACTGCCTGAGTGGACAGTCACGGTGCCCAGATATTACTGATCGTGTACTGGACGCTATCGCGTCCGAGCGCTTACGGAGCTGGCAATTAATGCCTTGAGCGCCCCCTCGATACTACTCAGGTTGACCAATTTTTTTAGTTTTTATGTCCCGCGAACATTCCTAGTTTATTTTGCTGATTCTGCTGTACTGTTCCACGTGTTTGAATGTAACATGCGATGGTGTGTCGCTTCGTTGTATTAATTTTCACGAAGGTCTTCAGATTTCGCAATTCTTAAACATTCGGGCTTGTGACAAACTAGGTCAATTGTTATCTTTGTATAATTAAAAATGTATACGTTACTGTATTGAATTTATTCTTTATTTAATTTGGAATATATAATATTTATTTTGAATAATTATTATCTTCTCTATGCTACTTAGCCCTTATTTTTTCTATTCTTTATTTTCTTGCTATGTTTACATTACATTTCTGCCGCCTATGCCCTTATTAGTCTGATAACTGTTTTGTAAATTTTGCTTTTCATTTCTTCCCCGACATTTTTTATTTCTCCCTATTGTTTTATTTAGGAAACTTCTAGTTCTGTTGGTATTTAAATACCATATTTAAATGGGATTAAGCTACAATTATTGGCTGCAATGAAAATCACATTTTTAACTAATTTACGTTTCGTTTCGTTCCACGCCGGAAATCGATTTCAAAAAAGATTATGATAAAAAATTCTTCAAAATGTATAACAAAATCTTTTGTTATTAGCAACTATTTTGTTATTATTAGCTTTAAGGAAATGTTTTACTTTTTTGAAATGTATAATAAAATCTTTTGTTATTAGCAACTATTTTGTTATTATTAGCTTTTAGGAACTTTTAAACTTTTTTAAAGATATAGCAATGCCGTGTCTGCATGTGCATAAATTCAGGAAATAGAAGACGGCATGTGACATTTGCAAGACACTAACGGTGAAATTCTACATGATAAAAACTCAGTTCTTAACAGATGGGCACAACATTTTAGTGAACATCTAAATATAAACGATATTGAACGAAGTTATAAAATAGACAACCAACAACATCCACAACTTTTTAGAGCAATCCATAAACTAATAGTACTTCTATGATATAATGAATTAGTACCAGAAAAGTGGCTAAAGCGAATAATATGTCCGTTGCATAAAAAGGGTGACCAACTGGAATGTAAGAACTATAGAGGTATTACTCCGTTAATCTCAGCACCTGTATATAAAATATTTGACAATGTATTGTTTGAAAGATTTAAACATTTTACAAAGGATATTGTTGGTCAATATCAATGCGGATTTACTGCTGGAAAGTCAACTGTACATTAAACTAAAGCACGTAGACATATTTTAGAAAATATAACATAGATACACACCATCTTATTATTAGGAAAATTAGTAGGAATCAAATAGACTACACTTTAGTAAATAAAAGATTCCGAAACAGCTTTACATCTATCAATACTTATCCTGGAGCAGACTTGGAGACAGACCACGTTCCACCGGTATAAGTATTTCGAATCAAACGAAAGAGTACAGAAAAGGAAAGCACAATCATGCGACCTACGTATGCTGAAAGACCTTGATACGAGGATGAGAGTCCAAGCCACCATACCTCGGCACCATAATAAAAATGAAGATTGGACCAACAACCAGGGGATTAGAGCACGCATCGGAAAAGCAAGATTCACCTTTAATCGGATGGGGGCCTTCTTCGAGAGTCACAACCTCTTTCTTGAT